AGTAAGGTCCAGATGATTGTAGTTCATGCATCACAAGAACTACACTAATTTACAGAAAAAAAATAGATATTGTGCTGGGTTTTTTGGCACCTAACCTCTCTACACTTCATACTGTGACAGATATTATTAGGAAATAGATGAATTAAACTTAACTACATGATTCAAAGATAGCTCAATTGATACAAATTATGACAAAGACATTTCAGAGACAGCATACAGCAAAACATTTACTAGTTCTCCAAACAGGTAGATATTAACCTACACAGACAAGTTGCATTTCTGCCATACTTTTAGCCTATAAAGGCTCCTAAGGAAGCTTCATTTAGCCTATTTATCAGCCCTACACATTTTTCTGTATGTAGTTTGCCCAATTCAAATTTCCATCTTCTACCTTCAAAGCACAGACAGCCTGGCTTTACTGAATACAACAGTTGTTTCGGTGACCATTGGAGTCTTTAAAACGCAGGCGCATTTTGGGACGATATTTCTCCAAATACAGAAGCTGCTTGCTATTGAAGGCTCCACGTCGCTTCCTAAATGACAGAGATAGTTGTTAGAAGATCATCTTTAGAAACAAAAAGGTCACTTCCTGAAATATAGTTCCTGAAATAACATTAACGGGAAAAAAGTCATAAAAGCAGTTCTTAAAAATGGCTGAGGGCAAACAATGGCATGGTAGCAAAGGAAGGTTGGGTTTTTTTTTAAAAATGTAGTACCAAATTTCAGTCACTGTAGTTTTTAAATCTCCTACTCAAATAACATCAAATTCTGAATGCCTCACCAAATGTGCTCTAAGGCAAAGCTTTTGCACAATGATCATTCTCCAGTCTCTTGGGAAACCCTCAGGAGGAAAGTTTCATGTAGCTGTAGGCACTATCAAACCTGTTCTTTTGCTCTAAAGCATGAGTCAGCAAAATACAGCCCATGACGCAGATCTGGCCTGCTGAAGATTTGGATCCAGACTGTTGTGCCCCCAATGGGACCCTCAGGCAAGCTTCCGGTCTGCTGTGGCCCCACATGCTGCATAAAGAGGCCAGCTAATGGGGCCAGCGTGAGCATCTCCATACAGTGCACCCTTTAGTGGCAGGTGGTTTTGCATGGCATGCCTCGAGGGGAGGGGAGTCCCTATGCACTTCCCCGCCTCCAGCCCTATCCTTGCAACTCCCATTGGCCAAAAACTCAGCCAGTTGGAGTTGCAAGAGCAGTGCTTGCAGAATATGGAGACCTGCTGCTCCTCCCATCCCCACTCCCCAAGGATGTGCTGCACAGAGTTGCATACACTGACCCCAGCAGCCAGATTATTTGAGCAGCCTTTGGGTCCTTTTGGACTGCCAGTTGCCTACAGCAAGCACCTCCAGCCAGAGCTTGCCCCTACTGCATTCCAAACCACCTCTCCCAGGGTCATCATCCCCTACTGCACACAACCCCTCTCCCAGATTCCACATCCCCTCCTGCACTCTCATCTCTTACCCATAGTTCCTCCATCCCAGATCCCACACCTGCTCCACCTGTAGAAAAGTGCAGCCTGTAATCACTCAAATTTTAGGCTTGGTGCCACCCCTCCCCCCCAAAAAAATTACTGCCTACCCCTGCTCTAAAGGAATATTAACGACACTCACTTTGTACCTCATTGATAAATTCATTCAAAATACTAAGTTACTGGGAAAAATGTACTGTATTTGAGACAAAAGGTGGCAATAGTGATAACAGCGCACACAGAGTGCAACCCTACAAAAAAAGGGCCACAAAAGTGCCTTCTACCCCCCCCCAATTTGAACACATGGTTACCTTGAAACTCAATTTTTTTAGTATGGTATGGTTTAATGCTCACCTACCCTTTTTGCTTGAGTTAGGCCCTACTTATAAGTACCACCCCAAGCAAGCCCCAGTAGTGGCTCTTGTGCATTTCAAACATTGAAATGCTGCATGGACCCTGGGGCCAGCAGGAGACTCAGTCCCCTGCTGGCCCCAGGCTCCATGCAGCACTTCCGCTTTCAAAGGTGCAATGCCGCTGCTGCGCTCCTGCCCCCTCCCACGGAGCTGGAGGGAACTGGCTTTTAAGTTAGCTCCCCCCAGCACCCCTTCCTCTTCTCTCCCCCTTGCTGCTTCTTTCTGGTACAGGCAAGCAAGGGGAGGGGGAACAACTAGTCGACTAGTGTGTCGAGTATCCAATAAGCTTTTGCTTATTAGATAATCAACTAGTCGATTACATCCCTAGCACAAAGCAGCAGGAGGACACGAGAGATTTAAACAGTAAGCTTAACACGCTGAATGCAAAATCAATTCAAAACTAGTCTGAATGGTGTCAGTGCCTCAAGTATAGCAAAGGCCAGAGAACTGGTAAGTGAAATCATCTATGTGTATGTATTCTTGAACAGTTATTGAAATGAGACTTACAATTCAAGAGGAATGTTTTTCTGCTCTCAGTACTACAGATTCAACCCAAGTTCCAAAATGTGTGTTGCATACCTACCATCTTGCAAATATGACTAAAGAAAACAATATTTAGCTGTTATGTTTAGAAGCTTGTCTTTGCAATTATGAAAATTACAAAGATTGAAATGAGAGCCTGAAACATACATTATCTAACATTTCATATGGTTCATGTAAATTCATCAAGAGGATGCAATTTGGCCTACTAGCCAGGAGTGCGGTGTCACTCAAAACCTTTAATTGTTTTTGCAGTATTACAACTACTTTTATTTCCTTAGTTTGTTTAAATTGAAAGGCATAGTTTACTAGCACAACCACCGTATTCCCTTTATTGCCAAATTTCTTCCACAATGCTATTCTGTATATGGGTTGTTTGACAGAACAATCTCATCTTACTATCCACCTTAGCCCAAAAAAGAAAAATACAGACACTAGTTTAATACTTACTGCCTTATAAACTGCACTGCATCTTCATACTTCATTCCACACTCAATCAGCGCAAGGGCAACTAACACCGGAGCTCTGGAAGAACAAGAGAAATCTTTAGAACGTATATTGCAAAAATAAAATTTTAAACCTCAGCAGATCCCTTTCCAAAGCTAATAAAAATGGCTTTAAATGTAGCTCTCGATAACTGCTCAAATGCCAGCATTTACTGGATACTATACTGGGCAGCAGAAAAAAGAAAACAGTAGGCCCGAAGGGGGGGAAGAAGGGGGGGGGGGGGGGAAAAAATTAATCTTTTCACTGCA